GGGGGGGTTGAGAGATGGCGATCAAGGCTGGAAACATTTGAAATAAAAGGAGTCTCTTCCTTTCTTTTTTTCTGTGTGGATCCAACAACTGATGGGGAAGTGGGTCTGGGAGGATATACCTGCCATGCACTAACACCTGTCTGTGAGAATCAGATTGAAAAGTTTTTTTTTTCATGTTTGGAGCTCGCATCAAGAGAGTCAATTTAAGGGTTTAAGAGATGATCTCAGCTGTATTCAAATCAGAGCCCTCGCTTTCCTTTACCTCTGCGGACGAGAATGGTGTTTGCTTCTGTAGGTGTTCTCCTCTTATAGTCAGGTGGAGGATTCCCACCCCTCAATCCCCTCAATCAGAGCTCTGGTTTCCCAGCCAAGTTGGCTCCCAAGAAAGGCTTGAAGACGGGCTCATGTATGAGCAACCCCCCCCCAATTGTTGCATGTAAATACATAGAGGTTTATCACAAGGTACAAGATGCAGTATAGTAGAAGAAGAATGCTTTATATAAGTGTGAGGGGTTAAAATGTGAAGTTATGCCCTCCGTCCTCTTTCTGCATCCTCCTTTCTTGCCATGTTGCCGCCTGCTGCCAAACAGCAGCCATGGCCGGGACTCGCTGGCCTCCAAAGCAGGAAGTGATCTTTCAGAGGAAACAGTCTCTTCTGGTGAAGGAAGCAGCCAAAGCAGAGAGCAGAAGTCAGAGGAAAAGGTCTTTGTAAAGCATTTATATTAAAGCATCAATGCATGCACAGTTAAGTTCTTTGATAATATGTGAAGAGTATATTTGTGCTATGTGTTTGGCTATGGTAGGAACTTTTTTTTTCTTCTACTGGGTTTTTTTTTGGCTAATATAAGCAAACAGAGGTAAGAGGAAAGGTTTATTTTGTATATATTGTTAACTTAATTTATTTTTTCTATTATTTAGAGTGTTCTCTTTCTTTTTTTCACAACTTGTGTTCTTGGGTTCGTTTTGGACGCTGTACAGAATGACGGTACGCTTCAATTCAGAGTGTCAAGTCCACTTTTTCTCCTACTTTCTTCGCCATTGTACAGGAGTTGTTTTTAAATGATAAACATAAATAACGAATATTAAACTAGCATCGATGAATGACCATCCTATATACCGAGGCACAGGCATCCAGGCAGCCGAAAAGCATGATTGCATGGTTGAAATTTGCGCTGTTGAAAAACAAAAAAGCAGCGAACACATTTTACCAGAGGAGCCGGTGTGTCACAGTTCAACGGAAAAACATGTTCTCTCTTTCATCATTGATGATTCCTCTTGTTATTTGATGATATTTATGATTATTATGGTTCTATTTATTATGGACATTATTCTTAATATGTAAACTCGCTCTCTCTCTCTCTGCTGGTTGCTCTTCATGTTGCGTTGCTCCTTGGTTGATCTTGTGCTTCTTTGGGTGAGGTGAACCCCCCTGGGAGACCCTGTGCCATAGAAATTGTGCCACGGTTCAGAATCTTTTTCTATCTACTCAAATTTGTTTATTTTTTTCTGCTGGTTCTTTTTGTTCTGTTTATCTTGTTAAGTTATTGTATGGCTCTTTTTCCCTTCTTTATTTCTTTACATTTTTTTTCATTTTTTGTTTGTTTTTTTTCTTTTTCTTTATTCATTTCTTTTGTTTATTTCTTTGTTTTTGTTTATTTTTTGAGTTACTCTTGATTATTAATTGTAACATTTGTGTTTTTGTTTATTTATTTATTTCATCTTTTCTTTCTTTTGTTTTTTTGCTGATTCCCCATGCACTAACACTGTAAGCATGACCCATGGGACGATCCACTTTTTTACTCTTGAATAAAATATGCATGAACCTTTACGGATTACGAGTCTTTGTTTCTTATTCACACACACAGAGACACACAGTAGGGCTCTCCTTCCTCTGGTGTACCCACAGGACAGGATATACTTCTAAATGGGAAAGGTTTCGAAACAATAAGGTCATTTTTTTGTTAAAATTAAACTCTGGATGGTTTGGATTCACAGCGGTTTCATTTTTAAACTCAGAGGGCTATTTTAATTTGGTTCGGTCAGAATGCAATTCAATTAAAATGATCAGGTTTAGAGAGCAATTAATTGGTAGTAATATAGATTTAGACCAATTTATAGAGTAATCTTAGACTTTTGAGAAAGATTCTAGTAATCTAATTACTTGAGAGAGGCAAGTGTCTGAGTGCTGGAGATAAAGTAATAGATCATCTGCGTAAAGACTAATTTTATGCTGTATTTTTGTTCCTTTTATACCTTTAACCACATTAGTTTGTCTGATTGTAGCAGCAGCTAGATGCTCAACAAAAATGGCAAAAAGTGAGGGGGAGAGCGGGCATCCCTGCCTGGTGCCCCTCTGGAGACATAAGTTGAAGGATATTTGATTATTTGTCCTGACACAGGCTGTTGGGAAGCTGTATAATATTTTTAAACAAATTATTAAGGAATTGCCAAAGCCAAATTTATGTAGAGTAGCAAATAAACATTTCCAGTTTACTCTATCAAATGCTTTTTCTGCATCTAAAGACAATATGTAGATTTTATATTTTTATATATAAATTCAACATGATTAGGAAATTAGTGTTATATTTACACTAAACAGGGAGCTCAGAAAATTAAAATGGTTACAGAAATTTGTGGTGTCATAAAAAAAACAACAAACACATCAGACATTACATTTAAAAGTAAAAGTAAAACGAGACCAAAGAAGATATTTTTCTGAGCAAACATAGATGCTGGTTAACGTATTGGTAACTGTTAACCTGGTCTGGTTAAGCTGTTTTTTTTTATTTTTTATTTTTGTTAATCTGTTTATCTTCCAGGTGTTTTTTGTAGGAAAAATACTTATAGTAGTAAGAGTTAACAATGAGACTACCCGTAAAACTTCTGGAGCCATTTTTTTTTATTTTGTGCAGAGAGGTGCAGCAGAAAGGTGCAGAGGTCCTGCTAGATATTGTGTACAAGAAACCCAGAAACCTTGATTCACCCTATGGAAGCTCATTGGTAGAATTCCCTTATGACAGAAAGAAGGCCACGATTTACACCATTTTATCATCCGGAGGGGGGAAACATTTAATTACAAAACCAAATTCATACAGCTGTCTTAAACAATTCATACATTCAGCAATGCATCGTCATAATTCAGTTATTCCCCACCTTCAGTCCATTCTAGGCGGCATTTATAGTTTCCACATCGCACTGTGTGGATGCACGTGCACGACTGGACGCTCTTCCTGGAAATCTCTTAGCTTATGACCTGATTGTGTGCGGGTCAGCCAGTAAGAACCCTGTTTTTGCCAAGATTCGTACGTGACCTTCAGTATGTAGACTCCCTGTCTACATGCTGCCAGTGGCGCAAAAACCGGGTATGCAGCACATGCAACGCTAGGGGCGCTGCACTCCAGGGGGCGTCAAAAAACCCCTCTAGAAAATAACTTTTTCTAGTGGTAATTTTCTATATTTAACAGCATGCACCGATCAATAACAGAAAGACAGCACTGATTATGCGCCCCTCTGATGCACCCCCACTGATTATGCGCCCCCTTCACCTCCCCTCCTGTC